TCACGAATAGAATTTGAGGAGAAATAATTAGACTTTATGTTATATTACTCAATTTTTAAGATGGCCTCAAAATATTACGTGTATATAATGTTGAATGAAATATTTTAAATATTCTAAATAATCAAACTCTCGATTGCACTAGCAAAGGATCTTCTTATCCGGGAACGATCGGAGTACGTTTGCCACTTGCACGAATCGCAATATCAAAGAAATTTTAAAGAACGGCACGATTCACCTTCCAGAAATGAAAACAGTTGGAGTTTCTGCCGCGTTTCTGACGAAGCAAAGCCAGGACGGAATCGACTTGAGTGTATCGAAGGATTACATGCATGAATAGATATCTCAATTTCGTCCCGCGACATTGCCAAAACGAAAGCGCAGTTTTCCTTTTATTTGTATCCTGTATATCAAGTCCCAGAAATATGTAAACTAAAGTATGTGGTGAAATTGTGTGTGAAATTGGAATTTAATATGAAATTAATTAGAAATTTTCTAAAAAAAAAATCTGAATGTTTCAAACATACGATCCTCGATTGATTACGCTTTTTACATAAAACAATACAATAAATAAAATTTTGGTAAAGAAGAAGGAATTAGAACCGTTTATAAAGCAGTTTTAAAATCTTCAGGTTAAAACTGATCAAAGAAGTATGAATATTATATATACAATGTTACATGCTATTTTCATTTTTTAATAATTTGCATTTAAATGTTTTATTGAACTTTTAAGATCAAAGAAAGAATAAGATAAATCACCAACGAGAATCAAATAACTAAAGAAAACAATCTATTTTCTTTACTATAAATTTTATTTCTGTGAATTTAATTAAGGAATTATTTACATTAATTTTCTTCTCTCTTTGATATATTAATCTGAATATTGGATAAAAGAAATACCTATTGTTTTAAATTATTAAAAGAAGTTTCAATAAATACTGAATTTTATGTTATAAAACATTTTTTACACGTTAAATGCTCACATATTTTTTGTCCTCTTCTTTTTAATACACATACAATTGAAAGTCTGATTGCAAATCTGGCAAGTCCAATAGTTTTGAATATAGTTTATCGATTTGTTCGTCAATTGAATATCAGAAATACTTTGATATGACAGATATTACAAAAGAAAGAACATCTACAGAAAACGATCAGCTACAGAGCTAGTTTTAATACTATCTGTAAGTACGTTATTTCAACATTTTTCAAGTATTTTCCTACAGATAAAATGTCTTTCCTATCGTTAATAATAAATCCTATAAATAGAATAAAATATCTGGATTAATATGTATCAGTAACGTGATAAATAATGATGTTGGCAAAATAATTTGATGTTTTCAATATTGCAGGTATCGATTATTTAATCGTAATATTTAAAAATATCTCAACTTACTGGACGTTTGTGCGAATCTAGGTCTTGATTATTTATTGTTTTTTTGTTTTTTTTTTAGTTTATTGTTCTGTACAATCAATCTCCATTTAATCGTGAACGAATAACAAATGTGCAATCGATCACGTTTTATTCGGCATTCAAACTGATTCGTATTCCTTCGCGTTACGCTTCTTTATCTGGCGTGAATTCGCTTTTCGTCCGCCCTCCTGAGATAGCCGGCACATTATTTCGAGCCAGCTCTTCCGCTC